AAAAACTGACTAGCTATAGATCAAAAACCCATTCTGCTTTCTATCTGCAATAACAGACTTTTTATTTGTTGTACTATACTGAGCAAACTGCCATAACACAAACACAGAAAATGTATTCTAGTGTAAATTCCATCTTCACTTTGGATTGATCTGCTGCAGCTGTGTATTTCCTAAAGAAGCTACTTGAACATCTTGCTTTGAGACTACAGCAAAAAATAACAACTTTCTTCAATCTTTGCAACTTTTGCAATATTGCAACTTGGCAATAAAAGTCTATTAAGAGGATGCATCTCATAAATTTAATTTCACACTTCTTTTATTACACTTTACAGAAATGAATATAGAATTAAGGATTTCTTCTAATGGTGTGAAGGAAAGATCTTTGCAAATCTTCCAGTCCTGTGAAGCAAAGCTTGTAAATCTAAGGGCTTGACAACTTTGCCTACATTATTTTCAAAGTGCTCCATCAGAAAAAGTCAAAAAGCCTTTCTTGCTACTTGTTATCTGATCTGTCCAAAGTTCACCTTTCCGACTGGAATGGAAAAAAAGTGAGATAGATGAAAGAACATTAGTAATTCAGATTTTTTAAAAGTCCCAACAAGACGTTCTGAAAACCCAGAGGAAAGACAAATCTACCTTAAAGATGGGAAGAGAATGCAATTTGGCAGAACTCTAAACTTAAATCTCCTTCTTAGCCCTTGTCTGAAGCTGAACATGTTACAGATTACCTCAAAGAGAACAACCCCTGTGATGCTGCAAGTACTAGATATGTCAGAACAACTCAGGAATTCAACTGAACGTAAATAGAGAAGTAGACTATCTCATCACAGTAGGCATGACAAGGTACCTGCAGAAGAAAGGGTTAAATGTCTAGTCAAGAAAAAACAGAAAGTGGTTAGTTCTTTAATTTTATGAAATCTAATGCTTGTAGAGGAACAAAGTTATGCAACACTGAGAATAAATGTTAGAAAAATACAGATAACTTCCCTCTGAAAGGCAGAGTAGCAGTCTTGTCCAGATGCCAAGCTAAAGTTCAGGGATGGAACAAAACAATATCATCATTTGTTTGTCCAAGAACTTTTCATTATTTTCTCCTTTTGTATGATTTAAGGCATAACTTGAACAACACACTGGCAGTAAATAAAATGTGTGTTTACACTACATTTCTTCAAAACTGTGCTTAGATAATGCAAATGCATTTGAAATCAAGCTCAAAACTTGGCATGTACATACTGCTCATTGAGGGATACAAGCTAAGATAGCTCTAGTAAAGACAAGTCAAAAAAATAAAATCAGGAAGAACTGGATGGAGAACAGTGAAAAGTAGAGTAGAAAATGCAATTCAAAGAATTTTTTTTGCAATCTATGAAAAACAATTTGTGAAAATGAGGATTCTGAATATATTCCAGAAGATGCCAGATACAGAACTCAGAGAACTGAACTCAGAGACCTATCCGTATCACCTAAAAAAACTCTCTACATCCATCTCCCTACAGAGTTCACTCTGGTTCACTGCTTCCTTTGGTGCTATTGTCTGCCATGGGGTTACCATCAGAGAACACTGGTAGGCAGTACTTCCCTCTAATATCTATTTTCAACCGCCTAAATTGGTCTTCATAGGATTCCATTGTGCACACTGCAAAGAAACTTGTCTTGTTGCCAGCTAGAACTCTGAACTACATGTCTTTCTTTTCTTCACTGTTCTTTTTTTGGTTCACAAGCAACCTCCTACCAAAAGCGGAATCTGCAGAAGAGACTACATCCAAGCGATAATGCAATGAAAAAGTATGAAGAGAAGCCCAGGTGGCCACCTTGCAAATTTCCAATGTGGAAGCCTTCGACCTCTCCGCCCAAGAAGCAGCTATAGTCCTAGTGTAATGAGCTTTACAAACCCTGGGAGTCTCTTTACCCTTAACTACATACGCCTCCCTAATACAATCCCTTAACCATCTAGCTAAGCAAGTCTTAGAAGCCATTTGACCCCTCTTAAGACCCCCTAAGAGTACAAACAATCTGTCAGAAGATATGAAATCTTTGATTCTTCTGTGATAAACCCTAAGTGTTCTTCTTACATCCAATTTATGCAGCCATTGCTCTTTGTCATTGCTGGGTTTAGGGAAAAATGAGGGCCAAGAAACTGTCTAGTTTAGATAAAACTCAGATGCCATCTTTGGGACAAAAAAAAAAAATTAAAAAGAGGAACCATCCAAAGAACTACTTTGTTTCTGATGGAACTTGACACATGTTCTAAATATCAAGATTGAAGTACTATGGGATATAAAGCAAAAAAACCAATTAAAACTGCCAATGAAACAGCTATAGACATAAATGCAACACTTGACACAAGCACATGAAAAAACACACTATTTTTGTTCAATCTCTGTGTGAGTTACATAGACAAAAAGACTCCTGTGAATACTAAAACCAATCAAAAAGAAAAGAAAGCAGGTGCAAGGTTCCAATCTATGTGATGTCTAGGGAAACTTTAGTTCACTTGGACATTAGCCTACCTTTTATGAATTGGCCATTTTCCCCTAATTTGCCAGCAGCCTACTTGCAGAGGACTGACACTTCAGATATCCCTCACTGCAGTGACTGAGGCATAGACTGGATACACCCAACCTAGCTTTAACCCACTGAGAGTACAGGTAACTGTCTAGCACCAGCAGCACATGGTTGAATCTGGGTTAATTTGCTCTGCTTCTTAGGCTGGTTTTGAAGTCTGTGCTGCACTGTAAACTTGACACTGGTACTCCAGTTAATTTAAAGCTGTTTTGGACATACCTACACTCTAGATTTTGTTAAATTAAACAAAATTTCTAATAATAAGGCTTCTAAATAAGTACAGAAGATGGCGATTATATTTCCTAGTCATATATTATAATCTGTTCTGATGAAAATAAAACAAGGATTCTAATCCATCCTTCTTATCAAAACTCAGTCTTTGTCAGTGACAAAAATAAGATTATCAGTCTAATAAAGGACATTAACAGAGAAAGTCTTAAATCCCTTTTAGCACTTAACAGAACCTGTAACTACTGAAAATATAGCTCTCATTCTCCCACATTAAAAAATTTTTCATTTCATCACTACAACTGAGATTTCTGACAATATGAAGTGAAAATAACACAAATAAACTCTTCTTCTACTTAGGCATCTTATTAAAAATGTCTCTGGATGTGTCTTCTTTTCACATACTACCTGTAAACATAAAACTTAGCAAAGTTTAGTGAATAGAACCACCTGATCAGCAACACTAAAAACACTAAAACCAAAAGCTATGTCTGAAGATTTCATTAAAAGCACTTGTACAATATTTACCTTTAATTGTTTTTCAGGGTAAAAGTAATTTTATGTTTCCTTTATAGAATGGACCTTCTACCCAAAGACTCCCTCCCCCAATAAGATTTAATAATATTTTCCATTCAGATTTTATTAAGTAGAGGTACCAATTAAGAACCAACTTGTCATAGGCAGAATTATCCTTAAAGAATATTCCTCAAAGAAGAAGGCTTAACACACTTTAGAGAAACATTTCTGAATGCAATTAAGCTTGGAAAAATGCCTGCAGGATAAAGTCCTAAATACACTTCCTGGAAAGTAAAATATTTCTTATTAATGTTGAAATCTTTAAGTTCTCTGAATTACTGGAGATCATGTCTTAGAGTGTAGATATTTAAATGTCAAATAAATTTCCCATTCAAGAGTTTTTCAATTTCTTTACACTTTATCACAAAATATACTAATAAAAAGACTTACAATCACCCTTACTGAATGTATACCATGTTCTACACATAAGGATTCCACAATATGAGAAGTTTATTCTAACACCTCTTTATAGGATCAAGGCCATAAAACATAAATCGTAATGTATAACAGCTTAACATTTCTTGAGAATTACTAAAACTGAGAGATTAAAGGAGGCAGAAATACATTGAAACCAATAGCAAAAATGGAATTTGAATGCAAATTTTATTAGAGCTTTGAGGTATAGTCTAAAAATACACAGGTTAAGCTGTATTTCTTTATTTCAGAATGTCAGGATTACAGATGAAGAATCCATCTACAAAATGTGTGCCTCTGAACTCTTCTTGTATAATATTTTTATTTTAATCAATTAAGTATTCTCAGACTGCATTCCCAAAACACCCTTCTCCTCCGCTTGCAGCTTGACTACACAGAGAGTAAATATTTGACTCTACCTATCCTCTCTTCCTGAGCAGCCTGGACTCATTTCTGGTCTGATCTTTTCCTGCAATAAAATCAAAGCTCTTGAAACCACTTGGTCTCTGGTGACTTGGAGTTTTTCTACTGGCAGAAGCAGTAGAGTAGAAGAACTTGCTTTGAGCTTGCTATGACCTGAAAGGTGTTATTCACCTGCATTTTCATGATATCAGGTTCTCCTGAATAAAATTAAATGAAAAAGAGAGTGAGCATGGAATCTATAGCAAATGCAAACTTGAGGCTTGATCATTTTACTGATGTAGAGCCTACCTCTATAAAACACCCACTGAAGCCAATGGGATAAGCATGTTAGTTAACCTAGTACATAATAGTGTTTGTGAGCACTACAGGTTAAATCAGGACTATATCCTTAAACATTTAGTTGCATGTATACTAAAATCAACTAAACTGATGTTCAAGCCAGTGCTTTTCTCTCTTGAAAAAGGCAACTTGAATTCAGACTCCATACATTTGTTGTGTCCTATATGAAGCACAGGATTTTACAGATAATTCAGTAGGAGATATCATGTTACAGTGTTTGATAGTTTTTCATTATGATTCATTATCTACATTCAGTACATCACATCTTTACACACAGCTATAAGTTCAAGTCATTGTGCTCAAATATAAACCTGCATATTGCAAAGACTTTTTTAGAGGATATGGTAACAGACGTATTTTCAAAATATGATGACATAATTTAGGTAAATAATGTTGAAAATCATATAAAATTATATTTTGCACAAAGTAAATCAATAAATTATTTGATTCATTACCTTGAACATTCTTATTTCGCTCCATAAATGAAGGCAGCAACAGAATTTCTGCAGAGAGCTCTTCAATTTTTTCCTCCATTAATAAGAAGAGTTTGATAAGTTGAGAAAGACATTTGAGTTGATACAATGTTAAACAGAAGTTCCTTCCTTTTTTGTGGCATTCTTGGGAGGCTGTTCAAGTAAAATAATAAAATAACATTTATTATAGCTTAAAAAATGGTCCTGCAAAATTGATTATGTAAGACAGTATAATATATCACATAATTTCATTTTTATTATAGGATAATGTATCTTTTTCTCATTATAAAATTCTGTTACATTAGTTCTTCCTATGGCTTCAGCATTTCTTAATTATCTTGGAAGTTAAAACTGAATTCCAGGTTTTGTTATTCATTAACTAGGGTATTTTTCCAAGCAGGGATCTACTCAAACTTCCTCACCTGTGTTTTACAGAAAACCCACTGTGTTGCAAAAGCCGAAAAGGGAAAAAACACTTCATTACTGTATTCTAATGGTTTGGGACATCACATCAGTTGTCACTCTGCAAGTCACCTTGTCTGTTTAACAATCTGCTAGCACAATACAGTTGATGAATATGACATTTGAGTGAAAAGAAACATCAATCTAACACTCCACAACTTTAAATACGTGGGGTTTGAAAACAAGTGAGATTGTCAGTGAGCAAATATCAGCAAGTATTATAACTATAAGCATTTGGTATTTAAAAGAAGAAACTGAACATTTTATTTTGAAAGGTTAACACATGTAATCATAACATATAATCATGTCACATCAACCAGGGAACTCTGATTTGAGCAAAGTCAGACTATAAATGACTGTGAGATGTTTCCAATTCAGTATTACCTAACCACTTGGGTTTAAGTATTTTAATTTTATAATTTCTTTAAATGCAACAGATTTGCACTTCTGTGCAAATTGTGGCAAGCTGATACCAGGTTCCTATGCAGCTCTGTTGCAGATGTAACATCAGCAGAATGGTTTATCTAGAAAGTGTCAGAGTGAGAGCCAGAGTAGTTTGAAAGGGAAGCTCGGAAAGATGAAAACAAATAGAAATTGACTGAGATGTATTTTCATGTGTCAAATCTTACCTTTGCAAATTTGAAATTCTCTGTACCATCCTTTTTCCTCCAAGTTTATAGATATTTTTTTAAGCATTCACAAATCACTTTTAAATAGGCATAGATCTAAGAAGCAGAGCCGAGCTCTGAATACTAATTCCCTAATTTACTATTCCAGTTTTGCAGCCTTAGAGATTAAAATGCGGGTTTTGCATCCACATCTGAATTTCCTCGAAATTCCAAACAGATGTATTCATGCTAGTCCCTTGCATTTCAAAGAATGGGAAAAGAGTTATGCATAATTGCACCTGTTAGTGCCTTTCATCTCTGAGTAACAAGTAAATAGTATCTTTATTGCTGGATTTCTTATTTTAAGTCCCAAACTTACAAAAAACCACATTCTGCTATTCAGAGATCTTGACTGCTTACCTGAAAACTCGAGAATATAACCTGATTTTAACTGACATGAAATGACTGCATGAGTCTGTGGTGTAAGAACACAAAACATATCATAAAAATGAATGAAACATTAGTTCTGTCTCCTATAACTTGAAAACCTTGTGATGCTCTTGCCTCCTCTCTTGAGGAACACAGAAACCTTCCAATTATTTGGTTATCACAAATGATATTAGACTGAAAGGAAGTGGACCTAGAAGACAGAGGTATAGCACAGTAATACTATTTTTAGAATATATTACTAAAATCAGAAAAAAGTAAAAAACTTACTTTCAATGATCATTCAAATTACATTTCAGTTTTATCGTTTCTCAGAACTGACAACTCATTTATTCAGTGCTTCATGATCAAATAGCATGCACACACCTAGGTGTCCAAAGTTTAACTGAAAGGTCTTATATACGTCCAGACTGTTAGGTTTGAAATAACGATGGTATCATTTAACTTTGAAGACCACTGACCAGGCTGCTTGAACAAGCATATCATAATCCATTTTTCAGCAGAGGAGAAGGCACTTCTTTTCTGACATGGTTCTGATTGGACAACTTACAGGACAGAAACCTTTACAAACTGTGTAACAGCCAGGAGCTAAGCAGACAATGCTATAAAATGGAGAAAATCTCAAAACAGGTTTGTAAACCTTGTAGGAAGGAGATTGTCATGAAGAGAACATGTCTCCACGTGGACAGATGTGAACTAGACATGGGGACTGACTGTGATATATGTTCAACCAAACCTTAGTGCCATCAACCTGTTAGGAGGAAAATCAGCCATATTCACATAGTGGAGTATGGTTACTCTGAAAAAGTTATGAAATGGCTCATGACTAATGGTGTTAGGTCAGAGAACTAATTAACCCATTTACTCAGGTGACACTGCATGGCAAGAGAAGCAGCCCTCTGTAATGAAAACAGTCTGAAGTTGTCATTAGCACCCTATTCAATACACAGAGGACTGCACACAGGGTGACTGAAAGCACATGATGCTTATCTTAGCCAGCCAGGAATCAGTTAAGCAATGACATTCCAGTCTACTTGTAGAATAGAAGGGAGCATGGAGAAAGTTACATGATACAAACCAACTTCCTTTCTGAACCATTTGCAGTTTGCTATCATTCGTCTAAATTTGATTTTTTCTGCATGTCTGACTTCAATTCACATAGTCCTTGTACAAGAAAATAGCTGCAGCAGGATCTTTGGGTATAGGCAAACATCAACAGAACCTCCATAGTGTCTCCTAACAACATGCTGACCTCCTGTTAAAGAACTACCTTGTGAGAAGAATTTGTGAAAAGAGACAGAAAGGCTAATACAGAGCTACAGAGAGGTAAAGTAGACCATACAACCTTTGTCTATGTGCCAATGGGCCAATTTTGAAAACCTGTCTTTAAACAGAGGTGAGATCTGGACCTAAACAAACACAGAGGAATAAAAAAATGTTCTGAGCTTCTGAACACAGGGTCAGGCTTCCACTTCTACAGAACAAGAATCACAAAAATACTGCTGTACAAAACCATTCCTTATACTGATGACTTGCTCTGCAGGCTGAATCTGCCCACAGATACAGCCTAAGTCAGTACAATGAGGTATGCTGCAGTGTAGGCCTCTGAAGAGGCTGGTCAGGGCCATTAAGGCCCACTAGTGCATACAGGGCTTTTCTTGCATAGCCCTTAAGGAATTACAGTTTTCAGACTAAAACAGTAGAGCAACAGGTAATTTTTGGAAAACTGTCTTTCTGTTTGACCAAGGACAGCACAATTATTTTGCTAACAGGAAAGAAAAGAAAGTACTTGAGATTTCTGTTAAATAGACCCCCCTTTCTAGGGGGTAGGAGGGAGAAGAAGTGGTAAAGACAAAAAAGTTACTTGAATTAACTTGAATGTACCTTGCATTTATTTGTAGCAAGTAAAAAAAATCTTCATGGGTCACTACACAAAACTGGAAGGAAGCAAAGGAATAAGCTCAAAACTTTCATGCCATTAACAACTCTACATTTAGATAATCCTGTCACAGAGAGACAAAGGGGACCTAAAGACATTTAATTTCTTCAGACACACTGATTTGCTACCACAACGATGAAATGAGAGGCAGCAGAAGTCATCCCAAATGAGGTTACTCTTAGAAAGCTTTTCTTATAGAAGAAGGCAGCCCAAGTAATATTGAATATCTATCAATTTGTGTGCTGGTGCCAAAGCAGCCGATGCAGTCATACAGCATCAGAGAAACTAGAGGCATTCATTTTTATGTTTGGCCTTTCATTTTAGCAGAACAGATTGAAGCTGAAGAAATTTTCCTAAGATCTAAAGCACATGCGGTTGAATTCTACTAAGTATTATTCTAACAAAAAATTAGCATGTCATTCAAACAGCAAGGTGAAATTTAGTCTGGATAGCCTACGTCTTAAACACCGAATCTCAGTTTTTCTATATTTGCATATAAAGTTATTTTCTGAAAACCAACTTGAGAGACCTTAGGAATTAAAAAGATGGTATCAAAGAATTTCACTTAGCCAGTGATGAAGTTCAGAGGTGTCCATATGAATTCTAAGACAACTCGTAAGTTAATGAAAGCATTTTTCAAGCAACATAGAGTGAAAAGATGCACGTTCTATAAGCACTTGATCATAGTACCTGAGCTTCTCCTGCGTACTTAAATTCGGAAGCAAGGTGTCTGACTTTATCTTACCAGTTTTAGAGATCTTCCATCACCTCTAAAAATGAAGAAACACAAGAAAATAGGCTGAACTAGATCTAGATGACTGTGTATACCTGCTAACTTGTGATTTTATAGCAAGTTTCAAGTGATACTTTCCTCAAAGCCCTAGCTTCTAAAACCATTTAAAAAAGTGTTCCAACTTCCTTGGTCGTAGCCTGGAGGCATTTAAGATCTCAAAAGGCATAAGAAAACATGTATGAATGAGTGCCATAAGTTTAATGCAACTTTTGTGATTTTTTTTTTTTTTAATGAGCATGGCACCTTCATTTTAAACAATTTTGAATTCATAACATCTCAAAAACTGAATGGCTAATTCCGATTATTTCAAGTCATCCAAGCATGTGACACAGTAAAGTGTGATGCAGAAATCCCTGCAACAGAGCTGAGCTGGATATGGACGTTCAAGAATAGCTACACCATAGCACTGCTCTCAGATTAATTAGCCTTTACTATTCACTGTACAGAGCCACACAGCTAAACTGCTTCTGAGAGTCATGATGGGATCCTTGGAAAGCAACCTGATGACTGTTTTCTTCAGTGATTACAGTGGGGATTTCTTCCTCAGCAGGAACCAAGGGTCTAAAACCCTTTAAATCAATTATACTATAAATTACCTTCCCAATACATTAAATATCATTCCCCTGCCCCATTTATAAGGTTCAATTTCACATAAGATAGATCTACAATACTGTTCTACAAAGGACACAAGAAGGCAATGTCGGGGATTTCATCCAATAAAGCTATATGAGAAAGATAATAAAATACAAAAACTTCAATATTAAACTTAAAATCTAACTACAGACTGCATACATAATAAATGGAACTATCACATTCCTAAAATCTGAAAAGAAATAGCCTAATAAAGCAACAAAAACACAGCTGCTGATAATCACTTTGTATAGGGGTATTTCAGGGGGTAAAT